TGTAGGGTGTGTCCGGACACAGAGGGGTAGGGGTCTGCCTGGGGCAGAGGGGAGAGGGATAGGGAGTGTTTGGGCTGCAGGGGTCTGGGGCCTGCATCCTCAGGACACGGGTGAGGACTCCAGGGAAACGGACCCTCTTCTCTACGCGGGGCCCACCGCCTGAGTGGGCAGAGCTTGGAGCCCAGACAGGCTGGGGCCTTGACTCATGGCCTCAGGCCTCAGTACACTTATCGGTGCAGGGGGACAAGCAGGCACAGGCAGTACCCGCGAGAGCACACGTCCGCTGCATGCTGGCTAAGAGTGTCTGGGGAGAACCACTGCCCTTAGCAAAGAATGAGGCCCCACCAGCGTGCCAACCTACCAACCAGAGTGCCAATCTAGACGCCACGACTCCTGCAGAAGCCCCGGACTGCCAAGGCGGGGGGGCCCCTCCCTGGCTCAGAAGGGCAGAGAGAGGCGTGTGGAGGGGCCGGGAGTGACATAGAGCAGGCTCTTCCCACTGAGACCTGCCTGGGAGCCCACAGACACCCCCAAACGATGCACTGTCAGTGCCCCGGAGGCAGGGGGGCTCGTGTCACCAGGGCACGCCCAGGGACCTGAGGATCAGATCAGCCTTCCCGAACCCCAGGTTCTCCCCGAGCTTGTCCACTCGATGACTCCACAAATGTGCACGGGGCTCTGGCACCCCACAGGGGACGCACAAGACAGAGCGGTGCCTCTTCACCCCTCGCTCCCCTGCGCCCTCCCTCCTCTTCCTCCCCCTTCCTCCTCCTCCCACGCCCGCCCAGGCGCTTCTGCAAGCTTTTCCAGCCAAGTTGGGGGGGGCGGGGGGGGATAGCCACCCAGCAGAGTGCGAGCGCGGACCCACAGGAAGGAGAGCATGTGAAGTAACGGGGGTCCAGTGGAGGGAGGAAGGAGGGCCCTCGAGGGACACCTGCTCAGAGGCCTGAAGGTGCCAAACTTTGACGCGGGCAGAGGGACCAGCAGACACACAGACCAGGGCAGAAGCCGAAAGGCGCTGACCGGCCGGTGGGAGCCAGCGTCCAGCGGGAGGCTGCTGGAAGGGGGGTGGTCTGACCCCTCTCAGAGGCTGCAGGGGAGGGCTTGGCTTGGATGAAGGCAGAAAGCTCTTCCCAGGACACAGCCGGGCACTGCCACCACACCACACGGGCAGGACCGGAGGGCCCCACCGCGGTGCATCCCCTGCCCGGACAGAGAGCGGCAGGCCGGTCCCTGAGCCACCTTGCCTGGCTGCCAGCACCTGACCGGAGCCTGCCCCAGACCAGCAGACCCCAGGGAGAGGGGCACCTCCCCTGCTGGGGCTCACAGGCCCAGGAGCCCCCAGGCTCCAGGAAAAGGATGGGAGCTGTTCACTGAGTGATCCCTGGGGCCCCAAGCCCAGCAGATGTTGGTCCCTCAAATAGGTGCTGCGGGTGGGGGGGCCCTGGTGGAGGCTCCCAGGACTGGGCCAGCCTGCTACAGGCCGTTCCCAGGAGAGGCTCCCCGCGCCCTGACAGTACTCATGTCCCTCTCCACTCAACTGGGCGCCGAGCAGGGCAGTATTTGCTCAGCAAATATTGTCCGTGACAAGGCAGCCAGACAAGCAGTATTTGTTGTCATCCTGTGAACAGTGTAGCCTGGAGAGAGGTCTGAGCGATGACCCCCCCACACACCCCCGCCTCCGTCCAAACAGAAGCCTCCAGGGGGAGGGAGGCACAGGAAGAACCTTCAAGTATCCATTTTATCTCCGCCCCACCGAGTCCAGCGCGGCGCCTCCTAGCACATCCGCAGCCCCAGGAAGCGATACTTTGATCGAAACAATTGCCAAAAGGGCCGATGGTGCAGCCCGACGGCCCCCGTTTGGATGTAAGCATTTTTCTCCCCCGCAGCTCGACACACCGACACCCCCGAGCCCCCCGCCGGCGGCCGGGTCCTCCGACATGGGTGTGCCGAC